GCCCTCTTCCCGGGCTACACGCACACACACACACACACTCTTCCCGGGCTCCACGCATGCACGCACACACACACACACTCTCCTTCCCGGGCCCCCCAATGCGCGCGCGCGCACACACACACACACACTCCCTCTTCCCGAGCCCTCCAACGCACACACACACACTCCCTCTTCCCGAGCTCCACGCAAGCACACACACACACACACACTCTCCTTCCCGGGCCCCCCAACGCACACACACACACATACACACACACGCACTCTTCCCGGTTCCCCCCCACGCACACACACACAGTCTTCCCAGGCCCCCCAACGCACACACACACACACTCCCCCTACACAGACGTACACACTCCCGCTTCCCGGCCGCCGCGCATGCGCAGAGGGGAAGTCGGCCGCTGACCGCGTGTGGCGGCAGTGCCCAGCGGACCCCCGCCGGGATTCAGGGCGCTGGCTGGGGCCTGCCTTAGCCCACGCTGCCTTTTCCAGGAAGGCTCGCGGGAACACAGCACTCAGGGCTCGAGCGAGGCGGCTCTGCGGGAGGGCGGCGCCCGAGAGCCCCGGAGCCCGAGCCTCGGCGTCCGCAGAGCTAGGCGGGCTGAGCAGAGTTCGCGTCCCGCACCCCAGTCCCACTCCCGCCAGGCAGGCGCGTTGGGGGTTCGCCCAGCCGCACCTGGGTGCTGCGCAGTTGTAGGGGACAGCGCCATACCCACGCATTTAAACACAATCGGTTGCTGCTTTTGTGCTGTAGGAAAAGGTAGCTCGTTGCCACAGAAATCCTGGGGCCCACAGCCTCTCTATCAGTGTCCCGAGTATGTCACCACCCATAGGGGCCCAAGGGGACAGCTCGGCAGACAGCAGGCACCGCCGCCCCGCTGGCAGCCTGGCTCCCTCGCCCCACGACCCTGGGGAAACACCTGAGCCCGCCCGGCGGGGGATTGCACAGGTGACCTTGACCTGCGCTCCGGGTCCCGGCCGTGTCCGCAGCCAGCCACCTCCACCTCCAGGAGCCATCTGCGAGACTCCACGCGCTGTACTGCATCAGGCATCGCCTGCAAGTAGAGGCGGTTTTGCTTCGCAGCCCCTATTTGTAATGGCGGTACTAGAGATTGAGCCTTGGGACTTGCTTATGCTGGGCAAGAACCCTGCCACGAGCGGAGCTACATCCCAGCCCTTAGTACTTTTTATTTTGTTTTTTAATAGGCTTTTTATTTTTTTATTTTGTGGCCAGCTCAGCCCACCAGGGGGCGGGCGGGCCGGCATGTGGTGCTGGGGGATTGAACCGAGGTCTCTGTGCTTTGCTTGAGCTTAGCTTGTTCTAAGTAGGTGCTTTAGACCACTGAGCCATCTCACCAGCCCAGTACTTTTTATTTTGTGACGGAGTCCCAATAGGTTGCCCAGGCTGGCTTAAACTTTCAGTCCTGCCTTGGCCTCCAGAGCAGCTGGGATGGTAGTTGTGTGGACAGTACCCAGCTTCTGCACCTAAGTGCTTCTCCGAGTCTGGTACGAGCTCCGTCGGGTTTTGCCTTTTCTTGTGCTGCTGTGGTGAGTAACACTGACTTTTTTCCAAGGATGTAGCCAACCTTGCAGTCGAGGAAATAAACCTGCATGGCTGTAGAGTTACAATGGCAAGGCCGGTTCTGCTCCCCCTACAAGTCCAGTTTGCGAAGTCATCCTCTGGCCTCTGGGTTTGGAGTATGAAAGGTTCCCACCCAGCGCAGGCCCATTCCACCTCTGTAGGAAGAACGTGGGGCTGCTGTCTTCAGGAGCCCGCGCCTGTGGCGGAGGGTCCTCAGCGTGGGCCGCCTCGGGTGGGTGTGGCCAGGACCACTGCTGGAAGAGGCAGCGCTTCCGGTGGGGTGCAGGGAGCAGGGCCTGGGAGCTGATGCCTGGCGTCCTCCGGCCTGCAGCGCCCACCCAGCAGGAGGCTCGCTGGCTGGCGGTCAGGGGTCCCAGCTGTGGCTTTACTCGAGGGGGATCTTGAGAGTGGCCGGCAAAGCCCTGAATCCAGGTGTGGCCTGAACCACTCCCGGCGCCAGTGTGTTACCCTTATCACTGGGCTTCACTGGTGATGTTGTGTTTAGCTCTTTACATATGTTCACGCTACTTTCTGGTAGGAACTCGGTTGAACTGGCTAACAACGTTAAACCAGCGTCATGAAACAAAAGCTGGGTGTAGTGGCACACACCTGTGATCCTACCACTTGCGAGGCTGAAGCAGGAGGATCGAATGAGTTCAAAGCCAGCTTGGTGGGGGCCGGGGAGATGGCTCAGTGGAATAAGTGCTTCCCTGGCAAGTGCAAGGGTCTGAGTTCAATCCCTGGTTCTGAAAAAAAAAAAAAAAAAAAAAAAAAAAAAACTACATATTACCTGGGGTAGGGTGGTCTTGTCTCCAAAACCAAAGTGGGGAGCTTCTCTTGACTCATGCACACCTGGGATTTTTTTTTTTTTTTCTTGAGGGTTTAGATAGACTGGACTTTTGAACGTTTTTCCCACTCTGTATATGCCTCCAGCGTTGGTGTCGCCCCTCACAGCAACCCGGAGGCCTGGAGGCCACAGCCCTCCTCCTGCATGGTCTTTGTGCAGTTTTGGTTCTTCAGGGCCTCTTTGAGACTCAAACCCAAAGCCTTGATGGGCTGAGCGAGTGCCCCTCCAGCCCCTTCCCTGGTACTTTTAATTTCTTTTCCTTCCTTTCTTCCTTTTTCACCTCCCCCTCCTTTTATGAGACCGGGCTTGCCATGTAGTCCAGACTGTCCTTGAACTCATGGCAAACTTTCTGCCTCTTATGTGTCTTTTTTTCTTCATTAGTTTTGATGTGTTCGTCAATTTTATTTTTTATTTTTATTGGTGGAACCAAGGATTGAACTCAGGCCCTTGTGCTTGCCAGGCAAGCGCTTATTCTACTGAGCCATCTCCCTGGCCCCTGTGTTTATCAATTTTTTTTAATTTTTCTTTTATTTATTTATTTATTCATTGTGTGTGTGTGTGTGTGTGTGTGTGTGTGTGTGTGTGGCCAGCTCAGCCCACCAGGGGGCGGGGCTGGCTGGCATGTGGTGCTGGGGGATTGAACCGCGGTCCCTGTGCTTTGCTAAGCTTGTTCTAAGTAGGTGCTTTAGACCACTGAGCCATCTCACCAGCCCTATTTTTTTTCTTTTCAAAGTTTTATTGATAAACATATAGCAATGAGACAGTTTCAAATCAAATCGAAAGTACAGTTTCAACAAATAATACACTGCATATATTCTTCTTAGTGGTTAATTGCTGTACAAGATGCAGACTTGTGATCCTACTTACAAACACCATTAGAAAAAATCATTCCATTCATTAAGAGAATGCAACTATATATCTATCCCAACCACTTTGAATACACAGATACAAAATGGACATTCATAGTTATACCCCAATTTTTTTTAAGTTCCGTTGTTGAATATTATAGGTGTGTAAACTGTGCTTATCAATTTTATTAACCCTTAAAAATAATGTTTTGTTTTCTTTCTTTTTCTTTTCTTTTTGGCAGAACTGGGGACTGAATTACTGAATTCAGACCCTTGCGCTTGCCAGGGAAGTGCTTATTCTACTGAGCCATCTCCCCAGCCCCTCTTTGTTTTCTATTTTAGTCTTGTTTCCCCTCTTGCTTTCTTTCAGTTTCACTTGCTGTCCATTTCAGAATGGACACGTGGCTCTGAGCCTTTCACACTGTCTTCTCTTTTTTTATTCTTTTTTTTTTAATTTATTAATTTATTTATTTTTTTTGTGTGTGGCCTGCTCAGCCTACCAGGGGGGATTGAACCGCGGTCCCTGTACTTTGCTTGGCCTAGCTTGTTCCAATTAGGTGCCCTAGACCACTGAGCCATCTCACCAGCCCCTCTTTTTTTATTCTTGTATAATTTCTTTGTGGTGCTGGTGATGCTGTGTTGGTTTTTGGCGGAACCCGGGATTGAACTCAGGCCCTTGCGCCTGCCAGACAAGCGCTTCTTCCACTGCGCCGTCTCTGCAGCCTGGTGTTGGAGATGGAGCCTGGGTGTCGCTCAGGCTAGGCAAGTGCTTGCCACTGAGTTGTGCCATCGGCCCCGACTTTCCTCTTCTCTAATATTTGTGGGGTTTTCGTTTGTTTGTTTTTGTAACAGAATCTGGCTATGCAGCCCAGGCTGTTCTCAAACTCACCTATGACTCGTGGCCACCCTGGGCAACACAGCCAGACCCATCTCAAAAAAGAGTGAGTCTGATGTCAAGTATAGATATTTGATTGGTGCTTTCCCCCTCCCTTTGGTGGTACCGGCAATACTGTCCCACAGATGCCAAGGGTACGCCACTGCCGACGCCCTGCCTCACGGGGGTCTTATCAACTGCAGGAAGTTGTCTTCTGTTTTCGGTTCGAAAAGAGCTTTTTGTGTTTGTTTGTTTGTTGTTGTTGTTTTCTGGCAGAACCAGGGATTGAACTCAGGCCCTTGTGCTTGCCAGGGAAGCGCTTATTGTACTGAGCCATCTCCGCGGCCCTGAGTTTATTTTTAATATATTAATTTCACTGAGAAAGAAGTAGCAATGAGACAGCTTCAAAACAGGTTAGTAGGACAGTTACAATAATTTGTACTCTTGCAAAGAGTTTTTTTTTTATCATGAACGAGAACAGAATTTTGTTGCAAATCCAGTCGTTTCCCGATAATGATAAAAATTGATTTTTTTCTTTTATCCTAGGATACGGTGAATTTCCTGAACTCATTTTTTAGTTTGCTAAATCTGTCTTTTGCTCTTGGAATAGACCCCATTGGTTGCCCTGCATTTGTTTTTGCATCGCTAGACTCAACTTGCTAAATGTCTTGCACGGTCTCGCTGTGTAGGCTGGCAGCAAACTCCCACTTCTCCCGGCTTGCGTCCCCAGGGCTGGGCCCACGGCACTCTCCAAGATGCTCGGGGTGCTGGAAATACGCCGCACAGCGTTTGGAGCATGGTGTCCTGTACCTGCAGTCCTAGCTACCCACGAGGCTGAGGCTGGAGGCTTGCTTAAGCTCAGGAGCCCAGGATCAGCCTGGCAACACAGACCCTGTCTCAACAATAAGAAAAATAGGTGTGCGTGTGTGTGTG